AAAAAAAAAAAAAAAAAAAAAAAAAAAAACAGGCGATAAATAAAAAAGCGATAATCTTTGGTTTTAATTCATTGACTGATCTTGTAGGTCCCAAGGGGTGACAAAACAGTTTTATTGTCAAAAATATTCAAAGTCTTTCATTAATGTTTTTGTGCACAAGAGATTTCGTTTATTTTAAACTTAAAACAAAATTTATTTTGTTAGGTAACTGACGTAACTTACGTAACCAATGTAACTTACGAAACTTTAACTTTAATTAAATTAAGTTGTTCCCTGAGCCGGCAACACGTTACTTGGACGTTCTCCTGTTGTCTGAATAAAAATGAGCAAAATCTATAAGGTCGGTTATTAATCTGTAAATCAAAAAAAAGCTGATGTTCATTGTTCCCAGGAGCGGCATAATTAAAACACCCTTCTAGAACATTTTTTTATCCTCTGAAAATGATGAGGAATGTTTAAGGTCACTTGTTAAAAATCCTGATAGTCACATTTATTAATTTTTAAAAACACAGGGATGTTTTTCTTCAAATTCCACTTAGAAAATCTTCCTGTTGGGCTTAATTCCTTTGAAACAATAATTACCACTTAATCTGAACACAGTGCAATGTATGTATCAAGATTTTAAGTACGTTAATTAACATGCAGGGCATCAATAATCTTTGCAGGAAGAATTCATCAGGGCAGTAAAATTTGTCGCACACTGGATAGAAAGGACATGTGTTTGGCTTATAAGGAAGTGAAAATTGGTTCCGTGACAAATACTTTGAATTGAAGAGACAAAGATGTTATTGTTTCCAAATTTCACAGTTTATTTTGTCGATGGAGTGGAGGACTGCATCTCGGCTTACTATTGTGTTTGGAGATTAGCGAAAACTATTCAAACACACTAGTTGTGAAATAATTCAATGATAGCCTAAAATGTTCACATGTTGGGGTCGATATGGGCTGAATGACACCGATTTTGATGATCGGAATATCTGTATAGCTCATTTGTTGAGCAGAAGGTTTATTTGGTAGAATTGTTGGAACTCTGTAAAAGACCTGCTATATGGCAACCTGCCATGGTTATTTACATACCAGACATTTCAGAAAACAATGACCCCTATTACTCTTTGTCTTGCATTTTGTTTGCAGATTTTAAGTCTAATTTCAATTTTGATCAATTTCTGTTTTCAGATCATTTTCTAAATTGTTCATTATCATTTTTTGCTTAAATCAATAATTACACTTTTATGTGAGGTTTGCCTGTATCCAGGGTGAGACATAGGTAGATGTAGAAAAATCAACTTGTGCAAATGGGCAAATTAATATTGTTGCTCCAGCAGGTCACACTCAGCTACATGTAGTGGACTTTGTGCAGAGTGAGCCCCGAATAAAGTTTTTATGTTGTAACAAATACTTTACCTCCTAAACAAGGGAAACGAACTTTCGGCAACTCTTTAAGTATAGTCAATGAAAGTTATGTACTCCCAAGTAGTCCCTAATTGCTCTTCCTGATCTGTAGAACAAAAGCTGATTTCCATAATACTTGACTGTAAATATAAGCTGTGCGGTTCTTTTACTAGTCTTTGTGTCCCTGGGAGAGATGCTTCTGAGATTGAACTCAAGATTAATCATGACCTCAACCTACCTCAAATGTCATAGAATTTATACTGTTTACAAATAGGCATTACAACACCTCAACGTTGGAAGATCATGTGGTTATCCCTATATTAAGATCTCTCCTTACAGATCAGCCACTCAGTACAGGAAAGTCCTTTTGAAACTCTTTTTGAACAGTGATGTGGGTTCTTTTATGTCACACAAGAACCAGATAAGTGAAATTGCTGTGAGATGAGACCTACAGTTTTTCATCCTTATCCAGGAAGACTTAAAAAGTCTAACCATTTGCAGATGTCATTACAAAGACATCAAGACAGCAGCTTCTTCTCGGTTATTTAGGACCTTGATTGTTGGTCCTGCTGGGGTTTGAACCCGTGACCTAACCAGTCAGCAGACCAGCACTTTCCCAACTGAGGCACCTAGGCAGCAGTGTTGCATTTGGAAGTTAGGGTTCAGGCCTTCACTGTCTCTCTTGTCTATGAAAGCTATGATAAGCCTCTAAGTTTGTCTGCAGACTTTACCCTATTGCCAGTCAGTCTGTTGAATGAATTTTTCAGTGGCATTAAGTTAAATCTTCACAGGGTTCTCTATCTATGTTGGGCACACCCACACCGATTTAATAAGTCTGTACCATTCCTGTCTGTTAGCCATGGCAGATGAAGATGTAAGACTGGTGTCTCTTTCTAGTTGGTCAATGTGCCCCCTTGAGTGGCTGCTCTGTTTTGGTACTTAAAGAAGTACTGTAGTTGGGAAACAGTCTCATTCTTGCTTCTCCAACAGTGGTTGCCAAACTGCAACCGAAATATCTGGAGACTTGTTGAAATTGGGGGCAGGTTCCCGTTGAGCTCCTTGTTAGCTAATCAGTAGGGAAACTTCTAAACTCCAACCCCGCCCAACGTTATCCATCTGGCACTGACAATTTGTCTGAATCATTTGTAGATTTCTTTACCAACAAAATTGTCAGATTTCGCAATGATCTTGACACGTTTTCTCGAATTCCAAATGACAGCCATGTAACACCTTGTAGTACTAAAACCGAGTCCTGTTTGGCCTGTCAGTTTCTTAGTGAATTCAGGCTGGTAGATGAGGAAGTGATCTCTGGTTATGTTAACAACCTGTGGACAAAGTCCTGTGCACTTGATCCTATTCCATGGTCTGTGTTTCAACGGTGTGAGCATCGACTAGTTCCAATAATAACCCGTACTATAGTTAACTTGTCGCTTCAAGGTGGCCAAGTGCCCGATAGATTCAAAGTTGCCGTGATTAAGCCATTGTTAAAAAAGAGCGGAGCTGATCGCGAGGACTTTTCAAATTTTCAGCCAGTATCGAATTTGTATTTTCTATCAAAAGTCACCGAGAAAGCAGTTGCAGCACAATTATGTGATCATCTTAATGGTAAGGAGGGTTTACTTGAAGAATTTCAATCAGCGTATAAATGTTGTCACAGTACTGAAACCGCACTTGTCAGAGTCCATAATAACATTTTGAAAACTGTTGACGACAACAAATCTGTTATTCTACTATTGCTTGACTTATCGGCTGCATTTGATACTGTCGATCCCACGATCTTGGTATCAGGACTGGCGAATCGTTTCGGCATTAGGGACACTGCTCTTAATTGGTTTCTTTCATATCTTCAGTTACGTAAGCAGTTTGTTTCTGTTAATGGTATTGATTCGTCACTAAACGATCTGCAATACGGAGTACCGCAAGGATCCCGTGTTAGTTACTTTACTGTAGCCAGAAAGCATGGCATACCATTTCATCTGTATACAGATGAAACACGATTACATCTCTCGTTTTATGTCTTACTGTCCTAACCATACATCCAACGCGAAGGAGACAGTTGAGCTGTGTGTTACGAAGATATTGCTGACGGGATGCTGTGTAATAAACTTAAGCTGATGAATCAAGATAAGAGGGAACTTTTAGTTGTTGGTTCAAGATATCGACCACGTCCTCCCCTCAACCACACCCAAATCGGAGATGATGTTATCAGTCCCTGAGAACATGCTAAAAATCTAGGAGTTGGGTTTGATCAGTATTTCGATTTCAGTGAGCACGTTAAAATGACCTGCAAGATCGCGTTTTTCCGCATTTGCGGTATTGCCAAGGTTAGGCGATATTTATCCCATGACACTGCCAAGACTATTGTTCCCACTTACATAACCTCGCGTTTAGATTCTTGTAATACCCTGTACTATGGTCTTCCAAAGTATCTGATTGATAGACTTCAACTTGCGCAGAATTCAGCAGCTCGCCTTGTTACCATGTCGAGAAGGGATGATTATATCACACCGATTCTTAGGCGTTTACGCTGGCTCCCTGTGCACCATAGAGGTATTTTTAAAATATTGTTACTGACTTATAAGGCTCTAAACGGTCAAACACCTAGCTACGTCAAAGATCTGGTGAAGTATAGGAACTCGGGCCGCGTTTTACGATCTTCAAACAAGCATTTGCTTAACGAGCCCGTGGCTAAATTAATAAACCTATGGTGATAGTGCATACTCTGCTGCTGCTGCTGCAAAATTCGGGAATAAGTCACCATTGGATATAAGGCGATCATCGTCAGTTACTGTATTTAAAACTAAGCTTAAGACATATCTGTCTACGAATTATTTGATTTCTAATTTTTATAATTAGCCCTAATTGTATTGAATAAAGTAGTTTTTTTAATTAATTAAGAGTTATGGTAATGTTAAGCGCCACGGAAAATTATGGAGTATGGCACTATATGACTGCATTTTATCTTTTATCTTTAGATATGTGATCCTTCGAGATCACGTTTAGCTCACATTTTACAGTAAATTTATGGTAATTTCTGTGACTTGAAAACAGAGAAGGAGGAGAGTGTCCAGCCCTGAGGTGGACATCAACGATAGACCCTCTTGGTGTGATGACATAATTTGAAAGAATATGGAGATAATATTGTCTGGTATTGGAATGTTTAATCCAGTAACGCCATTATTATGTACCTACTTGGACTTGTAAGAGAGTATTTATTTAAGTACAGTGTCAGTTGGACAGTGCAGGTGGTTACCACTTCCTCATTTGAAAAACCTGCAAGTAAAGAGAAATGGCTGTATTCACAGGCTAGATAGAAAGCTTCTCTTGATGGATAAAACCAGCTTCTTAGGATATGAGATGTCCCAGGTAGCATAGTGATCTTCTGTAGT